CAAAAATTTACATCAATTGTATCTGATTTTTTTAAATGTTGATAGCTTGCACAAAACAAGATGTAACCTGTTCATTTTTTGTCTATTTTACACATTTCTTATTTACTTCATATTTTTGTAACTATATGTTGCTTCTATTAAGTGGAACTATAAAATATTGAAGAGGTACGCTTTATGAGACCGATACGCATTCGACAACTTTCCCCTACGTGTCAATAAATAAAGTCTCAGTATAGATCAATTTATTAAAATTAATTTATTTCTTGTAAGTCACGCGTTATAATACCATTGTTATACAATATACATATTTTTAATATATGTAGAAAACAATTATAATATTTTATTAGATAATATTGTTACAGTTAGAAAAGAAACAAAAAATATATGCGGATATTTTCAGTTTTATAAATCTAATTGTATATATACTTTATCTCTATACTATTTATTATTATTGATATAAATTCAATTCAAACACTATGATATATTTTTTGTTGTCAAATTATGTGCAAGTATGCATTGAAAAATGGAAAATCTTTTTTATTGTGTAACATGTATGTATATCTATTATAAAATCATTATAAACGTTTGTAATTATAACTAATTTGATTTAAATAAAGCAATTATAAGTCAAGGAAATACAGTTTTATAGAACAAAGTTAAGAAGCTTTTCGTATACAAATATTATTTAATGAAAAACCAGGAGGAGTATTAATTGTAAAAATTGCAATTGCTGCTAAAAGAAAAAATAAATATGATGTATCTTTGTTAGTTAGATATTTTACAAATTGATGATACGCTTTATTCTTAATCAATTCGTCAAAAAGCGTATATAAAAGAAACGGTATTTAAATTGTGGTATTTTCAAAATTATACGATACAATCGCGCTTCACTATCAATCCACAGTAAAAAACTTTGATAACTGCTTTTCCGATTTTTCTTGGAGTTCAGCTTTTTTCTCTGGACTAAAATTCGTCGCTTGATCAAATATTTTGCGAACAACTTTATTAAAAATTACTCGGAAACTTGAGAATTTTAAAACGTAGCCCAATATAAATCTTAAACAATTGAAATAACAATATACATTATTAGAAATATACTTATAATATAATTATTAGTAATTTATAATATATGTGTAATTATCTGTTAAAATTGATATTTAATATTTGGAAATCTAAAATTGCGTTACGAGAAAAATTAAGTATCTATATATTCTATACATATATATTACTCACCTCCAGCTTTTATAAGTAATCCATTCTGCATAACTCATTGACGCATACAAGTGCGGCATACTTATATTTAACGCATCCATAGCGAGTAATGCCATCATCTTATAAGGCATTAGACCAAAGGAGATCAAGGGATAGTAATTCAGTGGTTCGACGATACATCTCGTCATGTGCTCCCATTCGGGAGTAACTTCCTTAAGATTAGGCAATACCCAATATTGATAAATATCTCGTGCACGCTGCTTTATTTCCTCGAGACTGCCGCGACAGAAGTTGTGCCTGAGAAAATTATACGAATATAAAAATTTTTAGAAAGGGCATTCTAAAACGTTACGCCTACAATTTTTACTAACGCTTAAAAAAATATATACCTATCTTCCATCCCGAGATAATATCCATAACATCTCCACATATGGCAAAAGGCCTCGATGTTTTCATCGGTCGCGTTATGCACTCCAATCAATTGCGGACAAAGCAAAACTAAACTTATGAAGCCGAATTGTAATCCTGCAATGTCCGCGTTATTTATGCCTTTCGGTTTGAATGGCGATTTGTAAATCAGAACGGAAGGACGTTGTCCGTCTTTCTCAAGTGGACACGCCGCGGCGAAATCCTGTAGAAACAACTCACGATCCGGGCACCATAACTTCGCGATTTTGGACTCGTTGTCGATTTGCTCGTCATCGAGCTCACACAATTTTGATTGTATCATTAAATGCATTTTACGCGCAAATTGCATGTCTTTATAAGCTGGTGTTCCTTTAATCCAAGGCTCTCCTTCATACCAACTGATAAATCGTTGTATGGTCGAGTTATACCTTGCAAGTTAATTACATTATTATGATCAATTTAAAAAAAGATGCACATAATTAATTTGTAATACTATGTCACAAAATTATTATAACATCGTTTAATAATATCTTAAATGTAAACAAAAAAATAATATAAATAAAATATAAAATATCAATATAATACTTGGAAAATAAAAATGATATGATAAAAAAATATAATAGATATTGATAAATATAATAGTATGTAATAAATATCATGTAGCAGATAAATTTGCGAAGAATTGATTGTATTTAGTAGAAAAATCAGCTTTCTAACTGTACAATGTTTTAATGTTATTGGTTTTTACTCTTAGTTCCTCTAGCTGGATCTAAATGTATATTTTTCGTTGGTGCTCTATTCCGTTTTGAAGGGATGAAATCACCCCTTGAAAAAATCGTTTTTCTTCCGACGTGAATATCGTCGAAACTATGAGAGATAAAAAAAAATGTTCTAGATCAAAGTCTGTCTCTTATACA